ACCTCTGAGGTGCTGAGGTTACAGATGTGCAATACCATGCCGATTTTATGCTGTATTCAAGACTGAACACTGGGTTTCATGTGTGACAGGGACCCTACCTACTGAGCTACATCCTCAGCCTTCATTTAAAGTACTGAGTGACACTTGGTAAAATTCATACAAAGTATTCACACAGTAGCAATGAACAAGGAACCTTTTGTTTGCAGAGTTGAAGGCAGAAATCATTATGAGCACTTGTTGATCATGAGTCACTAATGCAAACGTGCAAGGATGTAGTTAAAGAAAAGTCTTTATTTATGGTATTAACTGGAGTCATAATAAATAATGCAATATGCTAATGTAACAGTAGATGGTCTCATGCATTACCACGCTTATAAATATACAAGAGAGCAGGCTTGTAGGAACAAAGGTGGAGAAGTGTATTTAGCAATCCAGTGAAAGTGACAGAGTTAAGACCACCCAGCAAACAGAGGCTATCCCCTATCATTGTAAAAACACATCCCTGGGCACCTGTCAACAAATTCAAGTTCCCATATAGTATCCTTTTTTTTTTTTTTTAACATGCTAGTGTTAAATTAGTTACCAAAGGACCAGGGCTGATAATTTGTGATTTATTAGTACTTCTGATAGAAAGCAGATTTTAGCAATGAAAAACAAAATTAACAAAAATTAACTTCTGCATTTTGGTATAGAGGCTGCTAAAAATAATACAGTGAAATGAAATGAATGAAATGATATTCCAGGCAGGTTTTTGTGACTGATCCCATTTATAAAAATGCTATAATGTGTTTATAATCTGGTAACAACCAATTCTCTGACTGCAGAAGTGATGAACTTTAATTGAAGCTTAATTTTGTTAGTAAATTTCACAGAAAGGATTAAAACAGGATAACCTTTAACATAAAGCTTTAGAACAAATAATTTAAACGTATCTTAAACACTGAAAATGTGTTTTTAATCGTTATTTACAGTTAATCAACAATACCAGTGTTTAGCTTTATGTAGCCAGTCATGAATCCTCTTTCAACACCCGGTCTGACAATATTCCTTACACATACTCAGGCAACTCAGTTGAGTGAAGGAGAGCGGTCTGTGGTCCACAGTAACTCAATGTACGGCCATTTGGTTTGCAGACAGCGTTTGATAGGAGTGTCGTCTGTCTGTAGCATGGGGTCTTCAAAACCCATAACCACTGCAGTCCCTTCCACATACATTACCTGTTGAGAGGAAAAGCCAGAGGTCAGTTAATGTTCGAAGCCAGTTCTCAGGCGGATACAGACAGCATCACAGGCAAGTGTGTTTCTAAGAGCTCGTTATGTGGAGCTTTACATTTAACTGTTTTGATAGGAATTATACCCATCTATAGCATCTGCAAAATAAATTTGTGAATGAGATGGTGATACAAATTTTAATTGTTAGTCAATAGGTAAAACTGAGAATTCTATATCAAGACAAAAAAAAATTGGTGAATCATAAGCATACACTTTTAGATGAAAGATCATTCTTCAGATGATGGACAACAGGGTGTGTCTTCCCCCAGTGTTCACACGGCATGCTGTATTTCCTCTGGCTGGGCTACCTAGGCAGTCAGTTGCTCTTGCTACTCAACAGAGTGTAGCTATACCCTCTGATTTGTACTTCTATGCACTTCAGATCTGAAGATGACATGCATGCATGTTAATGGAATCTGCTGTCTTTGGACTAAATGGTTTGAAATGCAGTTCTGGAGTATATTTTACATTGTATGAAAATCATGGAGGAAAAAAATCACAAAAGATGTGAAGACAGACACAAGAGTCATGGAAGGGTGACAGGGTAAACTAACCTGTGGCAATAGTCATATTTAAAATAATTTGTTGGGAAGACATCAGAAAACATTACTTTGATTATTTTTTTAAAGAAAATACTTGAAATTATTTGACATACTAGTAGAACCCTAACTCACTATCAAGGATTCAATGTGTATATTAAACATGCAACTCTATATTAACTTCATATTAAATATGCAATTAAAAGGGGTGGCTATGGACTGCCCCCTTCTAGAGTATGCATAGTTATTTTTACCCACCCAGTGTCTGATACACATGATTGCAATTATGTTTTAACATAAAAGCCATAAGCTATGTGACCATGGAGCCAAAAGAAACAAGCTTATCCGCCTTCAGCAAGAGTTCCCTTAAAAACACAGCCACCATAGGTAGAGGATAGTTTACTACTAGGTCACATAATTTGGTTTATAAATTTTACTTTGTAGGGAAGTCCAAAGGTATTAAGGTGAAACACATTTTTTTTTATATTAAAATTACAACTCACAGTTTTCAACCTCGGAACAAAAGTGCTACTTTCTAAACCACTGTCTAAAAGGACTGTATGTCAAGACAGGACCTGTCTCTCCAGTTGCTCACAGCATCAGAGCAGGAGCCCCTCTGCAGAGCAGTGTGATCTATTCTGTGGTCTCCACAGTATTTGTGCCTTGCCTGGTGGCTGCAGCCTGTACTAGCATTCTCCTGATTTTTTTAATCTGGTATCTTGAATGGTACCTGACTAAGCACTCAGCTCTGTTTCTAGCTCCTGCATAACTTCAGGACCTTATACTTTTGTATAAATGACATGCATGAGTTGCTTTTACGGTTGTTACATAGTATGTCATGTTAATATTCCATATGTCTTAATTTCTGATCTTGTGTTAGTATGTCAGACTCTTGTCACAAGCATGATTTGAAGACTTACTATATACAGGTAGCGTGGCCAAGCAGACCAAGGACAGGATTGGGAATCAGGAACTCAGTTCCAATCCCTGCTCTGTCAATGACTTGCTGTGTGACTCTGGGTGAGTCACTTAATCTCCCTGTCTCAGAGGCCTCATCTGTAAAATATGGATAATATTTGACTACCTTGCAGGGATTGTGGCAGTGAATTAATATTTCGTGATGACAAAGGTAGGCAAACTTCAACAACTAGGTGAGCACTCATTAATACACAATAAGAAACAGCACCTGGGGCGCTTGTACTGATTGCACTCTATTACAGATAGCAACAAACTCAGGAAAAGATTTTTGTAAATATGAAAGGTTTTAATTTATATTTTGTTATTAAAATAAAAGTAAAATTTAGCCTTTTAGTTTTGGTTAGCCTTTTGGTTTTACTAAAATTAATGTATCTAATTTACATTATGATCTAGTTTCTGTAGCTATCCACCAAACAGCGTGAGATCAAACTGAAAAGGCATGACTCTTCTAATATTGGTTATACCGACTGTGGCTTTTCCCAGAATAAATGTAAAGACAATAAATAGACTTGCCACAAGAACACAAAAAACTGGCATTTCATTCAAAAGAGTGAAGTGCTCAGACAAAACTTTTGCCTTGAGCGAGGCTGGTCCAGACAGACACGAGGCCTCTGTCCATGTCTTAGAAAGGAGAGGTACAAAGCAAAGTGGCTAAAAGCACAGGCTCTGGCCTATATCTGACAAGTTTCAGTCCCAGCTCTGCCATTTCCTGGCCCTGGACCAGCTGCTTACCTGTGCTTAGGCCCCTCTGCAAAGCAGCCATCTACAGACAACATTCACCTCAGAAGGTGGGTGTGAAACTGAAGAGTGGGTAAATACTCAATACAGCCATGTTGGTAAATAAAAAAGCCAAACCAACAAAAACAAACAAACAAACAACCCAAAAAACCAAGTCAGTTTTATCCTGCATTTAAATGGATGAATAACAACCTTCTGTAGATTAACCAGAACTGTTGACTTGCAAATAACTCCACAGTCTGGAGTAACATTATATACAGAGTAAGCATAGTTATTTTGTCACAGTGAAATTAATGCTCCATAGATCCATGTATAGCTTGAAGGCAGGTTACGTCTTAGTAAAACTGAATACAACCAGTTCTCACACATGTGTTGCAGTAGGGAGACTCCTGGAGCAGCGTCCTGAAGTAGCAAATGCAGGGGACCCAAACACAGTCATGCCTGCAGAGTTCATCAACCCAGCTGAAGACAGGTTACTCTGTGAATTCTCATACCTTTTCATTGTAATTTGACTGCTTCAATCCATTGTAGTGGTAGACAGTAAAAGACTCTGGACCACTGGAACCCTATTATAAATAAAGGACTATTAAAACTTTAAGTTATATCTTTTTATCAAGCAATTTCTAATGAGCAACAACTATAAAGATGAAAAATCTATTAATCTTTATTGTTACTGGGAAATCACTTGATAAAGACAACACGTAGAGAGGGAGCCACCAGAAAAGCTGAGAGAGGAAACGGCTGCCTCTGGACACAGGGAAGCCCTGGCCAGCAGAAGCTCTTTTGTACTTGCTCACGTCTCTTAAGTAGATGTGTACATTACATTTAAAAAAAAAAAAAAGGACAAGCACCTAATAAATATCTCCTAAAATACATCTCTGCAAAACACTTGCTCCTCAATGTAGGACAAAGCAATACCACCCTATTTAAACCACAAATAAACATTCACCAATAGCTTCATTTTGGCCCACAATATTGAATCAGAAATATTAAAAAATACCATTTCACAGAAATAAAAACATATCATGCCTAACAAGACTGTATTTCCGCTCAAAGTGCCTGGCTCCTGGTTGATTTCCTGTAGACCGTTTTCTATTCTTCAGCTCATTTTCCTGGTCATTCCTGACATAAGAAAGGATGGATATGAATCAAGCTGGGCCAGAGTCCCTCCATGGATCTTTTCTACTTGGTGGGAGGTGAGCTGCTGGCAACTCTTGCTTTAGCTCCTAGCAAAAGATGGTCTAAGAGGATGTAGCTTTGGTGGAGAAAGTAGGGAAGGCGGGGGAGCTCTGGGAAGGGTTTAGGGCTTCCATAGGCTTGAGGCTCTGGAGTAGCTTCCCCTCCCCAAGCTCAACTTTTCAGTTCCTGTGAGCTATGCCTTTCTTTCTGGGAGTGTTTCCTCCCTCTCCCTCTCCCTCTCTGTCTCTCACTATCTCTCTTATGCTAAAAGCAAGGAAGGCTCTCCAAACAATGTAGGCCACATTCTGCCCTTCAGTCTGCCCCCAGCTTCAAACAAGAATGACACATTTCTTTGTAAAATACCCCTTTTGAATTTTCTAAGACCTGGCCCAAATCTTTCCTGTAAAGTTTTCTCTGAACATACAAGCTGGTTGTCTTACTATTCTGGCGGCGGTAGATAAAAGCTTTCTCAATTAGTTTGAGAATAATGTCATGTGACTTTATATCATTGGGTTGTTATTCTCGAAGACTTAACATTTGACATTTCACGTTCACTTGTAACCCTTCCCAGCTAAAATCTAAGCTCTCATTTTTTAGGTGATGTTTTCCTTAATTGTACACATGATCACTGTGATTCCTTAGATGACAGTAGTGGTTTGGTCTTGATTTTGACTATTTATTTTAACTTAGAAATTAAACATTTTCCTTCCATGAATAGGATTTGTAATCTCTAGGGGAACTAATCAGGTGACATATGGAAACAGAAGCACTAAGTGATGGGCTCTTGGGTAAGCCAGGTACCAGCTGAATGACATCAAATCTTTCCATATGTTCTGATCTTCACTACCAAAACTGAGGGGATGACTGATTCCATTTATAAGGCATACAGGATATGCTTACTGAAGATAGCTGCTTCTACTTGTTCTCATTGTAAAGCAACAGCCCCAGCTTGGCTTCTCATTCTTAACAACAATACCCTTGCACTGTAGTCAGCTGAGGCATGCGGAAAGCTGACTGACTTAAGTATGTCCGTGGTACCATTCTGACCTGGTCTTGTAATTTACTTTACTTACTCTTAGATACCAGAACATGTTTGCTGAGCTGCTCTTTTATTCATGTTAGGTAGGAGCCGGACAAGGATGGTGGAGGTGGCGTGAGGGACAGTGCTGGCATGCACTGAGTACAGATAGGACACCGGTCATGTGGCTCCCGTGGGAAGGTAAGTGTGACACAGGGGTCTGAGTTCCCACACGACTGGAATAGGTAGAAGTGGGAAAGGTCTCCTGTGAAGGAGGCAGCTGTGCTAAGTGTGCTATGTGACTCCAGTAGAGTCACCTAGAGGTGGCACAACATTTCTGTGCTGTCTCCACGGCTCCTGATTCACTAGATCCACAGAGAGACTCCCGGCTTCTGCATTTCTAACTCGGTATTACATACTACACTTTGAGAACATACTGCTCCAAAGGAAAAAGACGGCAGGGTCACATGTGTCGTGTAAGGAAAGAGAACCAGTTCCCCAGGGGCAATGAGAAAAACTAGGCTTGGGTGGAGACTCTGCTAGAGTAACAGGGAAGTAAGCAAATAGTAAGATGGACTCAGAACACGGTACAACCAACTAGAAAGAAGAGTCCATTTCCTGTGGAGTAGAAAGGAACTAGAACATTCCACCACCTCAAGGAATACTGCCCCAAAGGCAGTAACCCTTATTGGAGTCAGTGGGTTACTAAATAAAACAAAAAGGGGACACACTGTTGGGAGATGTGGGAGGAGCTACAGTGAGGCCCTGGGGTGCCTATGATCACACGCATTGTATCAATCCTCAAAGAATTCACAAAACATACAACTACCAATTCCTTGAGCTAATAAGTTATACTAATATTAATCATCATCTTGTAAATTAGCACACATGCAGCTGAAAGAACTTGTAACTGTCTTACACCGCACAAGCAGTTTTCAACCCCACCCTAATACAAATATGTTTCATATTTAAAACTAACAATCAGTATTTCCAATAATGTCCTAGCAGCAGCCTTCTTGGGATATAACCACAGCTTCAAATACACACACACACACACACAAACATACACACATACACTAACACACACACAAACACTAACATACACACACTAACATATACACAGACACACACTAATATACACACTAACACACATTAACACACACTAACACACACACACTAACATACATATACACACTAACATACATATACACACTAACACACACTAACATACATATACACACACAGTCACTTTGTGTATTGCACCATTGTGCTCACACTCACACTCTATCACCATACCGGCACACACACATCAGAGCACTGCAACACTGTATCGGAATACAAATGTCCCCTCTGGGTGCTGTAGCACTGTATTGGCGCATATGCTGTTGGAGCAGTACACTGCTATCCAGACACCCCACCCCACCCCACCCCAGGCAGTACATCAGGGTACTGCCACAGGTGTGTTTTCTGAGCACTACACAGCCATATGGGCTCACACATGCCTTCCTAACCTCTGCATGGAAAGGCCTTTATGTAATAGTTTTTTTCTCAGTCTCACATCTACACTTTAGGAAAAAAATTTCCTGTTCATAGACGATCATCTCAACAGAAAAAATGAGTCAGTATATTCTGTTGAATATGTTACCTGATCAGGAAAAAATTCTTGAAGAAATGGACCCAACAATATGATTCCTAATCCTTCTGGATCTAATTTATTCTTCATGAGATTTATACTATAGGGAGAAAATAAGGAAAAAGAAAAACAGTGAATACCAAACGAGACAAAACCCCACAAAACTATTTTGTTCTTTCATGATTAAATTTCTGGTGCTACACGTTTGGATGCCAAAATCCTAAGAGTTGTTCTTTTTAGAACTTTAATGACAAATACACAGGAATGACACTTAATTTGCCAAAACTTGGCTATTTTTAAATCAGAGTAATCTGTTACTATTTAAAATTTAAATTATGACGATGACTTTAGAATATTGTTCCTTATTAGGCAAAGTAATTTAAAAACCAAGGCTTATAAACTCAGGGTATAACCTTCCAAAGGCAGATTCTATTTGCTCCCTAGGTACTGAATTCAACAATCAGATGGAACATTTACTTTTCTAAAAACTATTTTAGGCTCCAGGATTGGAGCAAGCCAAGAGGCAATGGTAGATTAGATAATAAAAACATGCCTTTCAAATGTTACTTTAAGAACTAGATGAGATAGATGCTTAACATCCGTGGACAAGCTAACTTGAGGGCCACAGGCACAAAAGCTTGAGTCTAGGGAACTGCAGTGAGTGTCATGGCCCTTGCGGGTCCAGCAGCAACCAGAGGGAATGAGCTCTGTATGTCCAGTGATGTGTTCAGGGGTAAACTTTTAAAATGTGTATTATAAAAGTTACATCTGTGTGAGGTCTCTAGCCAGGTTCAGTGACATGTGGCTCAGCTCCAGGAGATGCTAGAGCATGACTGTCATAGCTTCAGTATCATCTGGTACCATTGTGCTTTATGCAAAGGATTCAGAGGGTTCAAGGATGGCCATTAGATTGCAATCTGAGACAAAGGCAAAGTCACTATTCTCAATGAAATTACATATATAAAATCTCAAAAAATAAAGTCTTTTTAGATAGAAAAATTTCAAGTTATAGTGAAAGACTTATTCTAAAAGCAAGACAACCCAATGGAGAGTCAGGAGGCAAGCAACAGGATGTATAATAGGTATGTTAACCTCTGTCCTCAGATTGGATTAGGCCTTTTTTCCTAAATTTTTATTGTTTTGTTATATAGGTTTAGCATCATTTTTTTGAAAAAGGGTAAAAATGTTTTGACTTGATGGAATCTTTTTTGAGTGATCGAAATAACACTTCCAGTTACACTCACTACTCAGGATCTGAAACAAGGTCCAAGGCTTTCATGACATCTTCCAGAAGGGAGTCAGCTATGAATCCATTATCTGGAAAACATGTGAAAGAGACATTGGAATAAGAACATTTCTGATTAGGTTCTGGGGAGGAGAGGATCACTTCATAGAAATACAAGGAGTTGAAGAACTATGTATGTTTTTGCAATAAATATCATTGCTCCTAGGTACTTGCTCAAATGAACTTTCTTAGACATACAGGCAAAGATTTCTCTTCAAGGGAGGAAAAAAAAAAGTGAATTAAGAACTCCAATTAAACTGTAAAGTTAAACTATTTTTTTTTAAATAAAGGAACAAGTGATGTAAGCCCTCTTGAGAAGCCCAGAAGATCATGTGTGGATCCCAGACATTGGAACAAGAAGCTATGAAGCTAAACTTCACTGGGAGACCCCAAGTAAAAGATGCCAGAGCTCTGGGATACCTGCTGAGAAAAGGTGCTAATGGGCAATGGAATGAGCCTAAGAGAAAAAAGTTTGTTGCAGTCAATAAAGATGAAAAAAAAAAATAGAGATCTGAAGACTGCTTTGCCATCAGACATATTTGCCCAGCTGGTTTCCTGTCTTGCTTTGGGGATTACAATTAAGTGATTGAATGAATCTCAGAAGAGACCTTGAACTTTGGACCCCATAGACTCATGTGTTTAGCAAGCCAGTTGGGGCCAGGGAGTGGAATGTGGTGGTTTGAATATGTTTACCCTGGAAGTAGCACTATGAGGAGGTGTAGCCTTGTTGGAGTAGGTTTGTTACTGTGGGTTTGGGCTCTAAGACCCTCATCCTAGCTGACTGGATACCAGTCTTTTCCTAGTGGCCTTCAGATGAAGATGTAGAACTCTCAGCTCCTCCTGAACCATGTCTGCCTGGATGCTGCCATGCTTCCTGCCTTGATGATACTGGATTAAACCTCTGAACCCCGTAAGTCAGCCCCAATTAAATATTGTCCTTCTAAGAGTTGCTTTGCTCCTGGTGTCTGTTCACAGCAGTAAAACCTTAACTAAGACACTCAACATACTAAAAGCTATATATGAGAAACTTTATATATAGTTAACTTTATCCTAAGAGGACAAAAACTGGTGGCAATCTCACTGAAACCAGAAATGAGACAGGGCTGTCCACTATCTCTATCCATTTTCAATATTGCACTTGAAGCACAATCTGAAGCAGTAAGACGGGAGAGAGAAATTAAAGGAGTTTGGACAGGATAAGAAGTTAAACTGTTCCTGTCTGCAGATGACATACTATACATAAGAGCTCCCAAACTGGTATCTGCAACACAAGAATTGTACATAAGGCTGAGGGGATGATGCACAAGAGGGGACAGAAAGACTGTAGGAACCAGAGGGACACAAGTCTGCTGTGAGAGTTCATCTCCTAGGAATGTCAGGGAAGCTACCCCCATGTAGTCTCAACAGCATGTCTGTCTAAACAAGCCCCGAACACAGATGATAAGAATAAACATGCTAACATGGAAGGAGGAAATCTTAGGGCACTCCGCCCTAGACAAAGTACTACAGGCAACTAGAGAGTGCTGAGAAGGGGTACACAGCTTTCTTTGGGGAAGAGCCCTTCAGTTCAGTATCCACAAATGGTCATCCCTGCGGTCATATACATACAAATGACTAATTATACAGACTAGGCAGATTATATTTATGATTAAGGAATACATAAACATACTTATATGTAACAATTGAAAAATGAGGACAAGAATTTGAGAGAATGAGGAGATGGCACATGGGAGACCTGGAGGGATGACAGTGAAATGATACAATTATATTTATGTTTTAAAAATTATGAAGTGTTGCCAACAAAAATGGTGGCTTTATATACACAAGATGATGTCAAAACTACAATGACACAGCAAAGCCTTTGGAGGGCAGTTAGAAATGACAGTGGTTCTGATTCCCCTCCACACACAAGGCACAATCACTCATTCCCGGAAACTGTCTCTACTTCCCATTAGCAGCCAGCAGCATGGCTTTTCAAGGGTTAGGTAATTTTCTAAAACATTGTGTCTAAAAGTCCTACTCCTGTAACAAACTGGAGAATAAAGGGAGCCCTCACTCACTCGGCATGCTTCATTTTATAGTCCTAGGCAGGTCAGGACCACACAAAGGCCCTTCCTATTTGTCGTCATTTTGAACAATATTCACCCATTTCAGACTGACCTTGTGTCAAAGGCTCCAGATCATTTGTGATAATTAAAAATGCACAGATCTTTAATGTGGAGGGTTAGAGTAACTACAACTTGTCAAGCTACAAATAATTTGAGGTCTAAAGAATAAAATAACTTGTTTGAAAGCACTTTCGAAGACCTTCAAACCCATAAGCTTGCTTTGGTGAATTGGAACGATAGAGAAAAAAATTATTCTGCTTAGTTAAGTCAGAGCTAAAAACCCAGAGCCTCTAAATATGAAACATTGTATTTGGCCACCAGCAGACAGGAACAATAACCTGGAAAAGTCCCTCTGCTTACTGGCCGTCACACATCTCTACTTGACATTCAGCATCTTAGGAAGCATAATAGAAAATGTCTCTGCTGCCTTTGTCTGGACGCTTTCGTCAGTGTGGCTTCTTTACTGCTACCCTAGAAAAATCCCTATTATAGCATATACCTGAGAGCAATGCCTAGATCCAAATACTTTTCTCCATGAAATGATCAACAGAAAAAAGTGTGGACTTGCTTAAAAGTTTGTGCATAAGGGTTTGCTGCCTGGTAAATTGTTCTGACTACATTCTGAGCAGCTGTTTATTATTGTCATTTTTTTAATTTGTGATTTAATCATGAAACACTGCCAAGTAATTAAAGTGGTATAATACGGCATTGTTGAGATTAAAATTTTGATAATATTCCAAATGAGAACTTAGCAATTTAAAAATACACCTTTGATCTTATAACTTTGTTTGACATCAAAATAAGTAGCAGGCTTCTCGAAGTTTGAAGAATCTAAAATACATATTATTCTAATTGCTCAAGCAAATGGAGAGTCAATACCAAATTATTAGCAGTAGTCTAATGCCAACAAGTTCTGAGCAGTTTGAGCATCTCTATGACTTTAGCCATAAAATAGACATTGGTAGTGTTTGGAGGGATCAAGATTGGTTGGTCTAGAACATCTAGGAGCTATTCTTGATTCTTAAAAATACATATGCACTTTTGAAAATGACACATACAAAGTTAGTTTTTCAACACTGATAAAAAAGTGATAGTATCTATCTCCTAGATTCAATGCAAATATTTTGTGTGCTATTGTGGAGATATATATATATATATATATATATGTATATGTGTGTGTGTGTGTGTGTGTGTGTGTGTGTGTGTTTTCATAAGGGTGTGTGTGCACTTATGTGTGTGTAGATGAGGGGAGGATGTTGGGCCTTTTCCTCACTCCCTTTCCACCTTAGTATTGAGGCAGGTCTCTCACTGAACCCAGAGCTCGATGATTTAGCTTGGCTAGCAGGCCACCTGTAAGGTTCAGAGATCTTCCTGTCTCTGTGTCCTAAGCAGTGGGATCATAAGCACACACCAACATGGCTACTTTTATATGTGGGTTCTGTGAAGCTAAATTTACTTCCCTATGCCAGCATAGCAAATACTTCCCTAACTGACCTATATTACCAGCCACACGCATGTGGCTTTAATATTAATATTAAATCACCATTAACTGATTAATATTAATCATCAATAGTAACATTAATATTAATATCAATATCAAAGTAGTTAAATTAATGATAAACATTAATATTAGTATTAAACAATAAATATTAAATTAAATTTAATATTAAATTAAAAGTTTAATATTAAATTAAAGCAGTCCATGGCTTTACTATACTCATGGAGGTAAAATGTTTTCTAAGTTATAATACCAGCCAACATTATGTTTACAAGTTGGACTATGTAGGGGCTGAGACAGCTCAGTAGTTAAGCATGCTTGCTGTTTTTGCAGAAAATGTCGGAATTCATATTGGGTGCCTCACAACTACTTTTAATTCCAGCTTTAGGGATTCTGACACCTTCTCAGGCCTCAGAGAGTACCTACATACATGTGGTATCATCCAAACCCTATGCTTGGTGCGCACGCGCGCGCGCGCGCATACACACACACACACAAAATAAAAGTAAGTCTTAAAAAAAACCAGAGCAGGTGTAAGATGTGCTGTCCGAGATAAAGTGCTACTGGTGGTGGCTGGCCTGCCACAAGTCCCTTCATTTACTTCATTGTCATGGTGAAGAATGTAATACAATTCATATCAAGCAATATAATTCATGCTTCTACTAGAGGGAAAAGTATTAAGGAAAAAGATTTTCATTTCCAGATTTGTATGTGTGTTAGTAAAGCAAGGTTATATAAACTGAAATATTAAATAAAAAGTAAGCAAGCAAGACATGTTCTTCTCCCTGAATAATACCGCTTCCCATGACAATTTACCTTATCAAGGGGTAAGGCTTTCTCCTCAGTGCTCCTGGCTAAGCAAGCTTAAGGCTTAGCACTGCCATGAACTTTCATTCTCAGTCTTTTCAGTCACTCATCAACAACACATGTGTCAGTAGAACCCTTACAAAGTAGCCTTGCTAGGAGGAAGGACAGGTATCAAGAGTAAAGAGCTTATGCTGAAGACAGAAGACATAAGAATGGAGGTCTTTAGAGTTCCAAAGCACTCCCCTGACCTAAAAACTTTGGTTTCTATGTGTTAGTTTATATAAGAATAAATTGTCTTTAAGGGAGGCAGATGCAGCGTTAAGACACAATGTTTAAGCCACAGTGGGCATAATGTTAAGACATAACTCAGTACAGAAACAAAAGGTCATCAAAACTCCTCAGTGGACATATGATATACATGTGCAGTTTTCACTTTGGTAGAATAAATATGAGATGATCAGGATGACATTCTTCCACGTGAAGATTTTTTTTCAATTACATTTTATTGTCTCTCCCCCCCCAACCCCCTGCCCCTCTGTGTGTATGTGTGTGTGTCTGTCTGTGTCTGTGTGTCTGTGTGTAGGCCATAAGTGTCAGATGCCCTGGAGCTGGAGTTCCTACCTATGGGTGCTAGGAACCAAACCTGGATCTTCTGTAAGAGCAGCCAGCGCTCTAACTGCTGAGCTGTCTCTCTCTCGACCCTGATCTGGTCATTCAATGTTTATTAAGATCAGGAACTAAGGAAGACTATTACATAAGTGAATCCTGACCTCTTTGATTTCCATTTTCGATGCTTCTCCTAAGGTATTTTTTTTAAAAACTACCACCTATCTTCCATTTAATAATCCAGCTCATCTTTTGAATAAAACCTGAGTATCAAATTTCAAACATAAAGACATACAATGTACTGATAGGAAAATTGGTTTTACCTTCTGGATCAAAGGTTTGAAAAACTCTTCTGGCTTGTTCAGAAGGCGCTTCAGGGGCAACTAAAGCCATATCCTAAAAATAAAACGAATACTGTCAACCAGATGCAGCACCATGACATTAAGAGTGAACATTCGAGTGGGGGGAGAAATGATGGCATTAGTAATCAAGATAAATGCAGCATAGGTGAGTGGCCAGAGAGAACACCAGCTCTCTCCAGTGCTCGATCTTACTCTTCAAGGATGGCAATGAGACATAAGGCACAGAAAACTAAAAGGATTTCATGACAACATTATAAAAGCAACTAATATAAAATTCAGTGTTCAGAGAATCCATGACATGTAAGTGTGTTTTATACTATTGTTTATGTAGAGACATATATAACTTAAAATACCTTCTAATTTCCAATGAAACAAAATTATGGCAGAAAGAGACTCTAGTTTTCAAGGAATCAAAACAGATTTTTCTAATTGCAAAGACTAAAGTGCAGTCATACATAGGACTGTAATGCCAGTCTTCACATCAGGAAAGAGCAATGTAACACATTTATCATGTTCTGCATGTCCAATTAAGCTTCCAAAGAGTTCCTATGGCAGGGTTACACCTTCTCCCTCATAGATGGAGTTTCATCACCACAGTGGGCAGCACTGCTCATCAAAACTGCCGCAGAGACGCACAGTGCTCAGTTGCCATTGCTTCTTTATATGGCCTCATTGCACATATCTAAGCCACTGTGACAGCCTACCTCTGCTGACAAGAATGAAGAAATGAGGGCCTTGTATTGATGACTGGTTGTAGCGTCTGTCTGAGCTTTCAATTATATTTGTGTTCAATGAGACACACCTCATCTGAGAACAGGCATCCCTTTGCACCATCTCAAACCCCCAACCAGGCTACACAGCAAAATCATCTCAAACCAAATCAAACACAGAAAACAAAACACAATAACTTTGAGGTATAAATGTTAAATTTTAAAATGTTTTATGGGCAATTTTTAAAGTAAGATATTCTAACTTCTAGCCTTATCTCATTTATAAAGGAAGGAACTAAAGAACCAGTGAGAGGAAGTCTTACCTGGTCCCAGGGACTACCCTTCTCAGGATGAACAGTGTGTTCCATTCTTATGAAAAATCAGGAATGGGGACCAAAACAATGTAATCACACAAGACATATACTTTTATGTACTCCAGAAGAAAGACTTGAAAGGTCTTGCCATTTTGTACAATTCAGTTGATTCAGTCGTGGATGTTATCTTTCATGTTTTCCATCCCAAAGACCTTTCCTACATATTCAGTGCTATTTTGCACATGTCAAGCACTGTTGTCTTTGGTTTAACTTCAATGTTGTTCTGAATTTGTGATTCAGTTCCTTACTTCCTAGATAGGTGGGCTCTGTCTAATCTTTTGCTATCATAATCAATGCATCAGACAAATGTGAAGGAATAATCTTATGCAAGCTTAATTGTATTTGTAGAGACCTACTGTGGGTTGCTGGATCATAGTAAGAATGATTTGTAATTTTGGCAGGCACTAGAGAGTTGTAAATCATGTTTGCTTACATATTTCACACATTGTTCTATTTTGGACAGTCTCACAGGTTGGCCATGAACTCATTATGAAGCTAAGGACGATCTTGAACTTCTGATCTTCTGGCTCCTGTCCATGGAATGGTGGAATAATATGTATGCACTTCTCTCCAGGTTATAAGATGCTGAGATAGAATCCAGGATGCTAGTAAGCATTCTACTAACTAAGGACATAACAAGCCT